GAAGTCACATAGAAAGGCTGATCCTTTAGAATAACACCCAACCTTTCAATAGACACACAGAAAGCTGGAAGGGCCACAGATGCCAGCCCAGACTATTATACCCAGCGAGACTATAAATAACAATAGATGGAGAAAGAAAATTGAAAATTTAAATGTGATTTCATTTGTAATATAAAAAAGCTTGGCCTACTTGATAATACATTTAACAGATGATATAAAGCCTCTTTCTAAGAGGAATCAAACAACTAAAGACACTGGAGCCTTAGCCAACCTGTATTGGAAGACTCAATATTGCTAAAATGTCTAATTTCTGTTTCTTTCTGTGTAGCCCTTGCTGTCCTGGAAGTCACTTTGTAGATCAAGCTGGCCTTGAACTCACAGAAATCTGACTGCCTCTGCCGCCTGTGTTCTGGGATTGAAGACATGGACCACCATGCCCTGCTAAGCCGCTCCTTTGGTCTGAATTCTTTATAGTGAATTTTGTTAACCGTATCTATATAGAAAATACTTAAGTTTTATGTTTCTCTTATACATCAAAACCAGCTTGAAACAGACCATGAAACTTATAGAAGAAACAGCCTCTTTATGACTTGAGGTAGTCAAAGTTTACTAAATGAAACAGATTGGTAAAAACAAAAGGAAGGCTCCCAATGAATTAAACTCTATCCAAATTGAAATCTTTTTAAAAGATACTCGGAGGAGAAAAAGCCCCACAAAGTAGGATAAAATATTCCTCAAGTTTATGTCTGGCCCAAAAAAAATATCTAGGATAAAGTATGCCTCTAACTTAAAAGGAAAGATAATTAAGCTAACAAAAAAGAAAACAAAAGAAAAATTGGAAGAAAGTATGCTAGGTTAGAAACTAATGAAATAAAAAGTTAAAGTACTGACCAAATGAATGAGGATGCCTCTACAGGGAAATAAAAACAAATATTATGTTACACATAGCCAATTTCTCAAAAGTGAAAGCAACAACTAGACAAAAAGTAAAGAAGAATGCAGAAGATCGAATAAACATCTACACACTTGATACAACTTTGCAATTGATAAACAAAGAGCACACTGAAAGTTATGAAAATCAGTCACTCTTTTGGCTAAAAAGTCCCAACAAATTCCAACTAACAAACATCATACATACTACACTCCTTTCTCATGATCTAAGAAAATCAAGGATTAGTGACACTACAGTTATCTAAAAACATTCCAAATTTGAAAGAAAAACACCATACTTATACATTATTCATAGATTAAAAGAAATCATGGGCTGGAGAAGACATCTCTAAGTTTAAGATAGAGCACTTGCCTACCATGTAAAAGGCCCTGAATTCAACTCTTGGCACTACAAGAAATAACAGATAATACTTATAGGAAGACCTAAATTTTACTGTAGTTAGCATAAAGTCAGAAAACTAAAAATTTATTTGGAAGAATATAAAAAAAATTGGAAGGTAGATAGTAGAGACAACTGGTAAAATCAAAGACCTTTGAAAAGAATAGGAATTCTAAAAATTTTCCTTGACAGGACTAATCATTTCTAAAATAAAAGCATCAGAAACAAAGTCTATAAGTTAGAAAGTCCAGTAACTATATCTATTAAAGAAAATTTTAAACAAGAAATTTACTTTGTACAATTGTATGTTGATATTCTTTTTTAAAAATCAAAGAGAATATGGAATATACACTGCCAAAACTGACACAATAGTAGAAATTTAAATTAATAATGGTAGCTAACACTGTTGAGTGCTCATTCAAAACCTCATTTTGTTTTTTGTGGTGATGTGTTTGATGAATCGACAGAAAACAAGATGGTCCTCATTTTCACAAGTTCTTCAAGATAGTAAGTGAAGTGATTCACTAATGAGGTAAATGTGATCTCTACGGAAAGAAGAACTGTTGGCTGGTTTCATGTGTCACTCTAGATACAGAAGCCATACAGGAAATATTAGCTTTGCTAGTTTATGAGTGTCCTCAGATAACATTTTGTCATAAACCAGTAAGCTTCTGCTAGGAATGCAGATGATTTTATCATTAGAATAGAGTATGTGTATCATTCATTTCTTTAATATAGCAAAAGAGCACTAAGCAAATAACACCTACAACAAAGAGCTTTCGATGTATGTGTGTTTCATTTGGAATACACACAGAGGTTAGGAAACTAGTGAGGGGGAACAGAGACTCAAGGGAGGAGACACAAATGCAGTGATATAAAGGGGAAAGATTATTAATGGAGCAGCAAGGATAAGGAGGCTGGGAAGGCAGGTAGAGGATACATATAAACATACTCACATACTCTATCATATATATATATATATATATATATATATATATATATATATATTTATAACAGGAGAACAAGACCCCAAGTAGACACCACATGCTAGCAATTGAAAACCTCAGTACCAGAAATGGATTGCCTCTTCTAAATTATTGGTCATTAGGATGCCATAGACCCTAAACATTACAGACTGTTGTTTTGTTCTCCATTGCCCCTGAGAATCTGACACTGGGACCATACTTCTAAAGATACTACATACTTGAGTTATAGACATAGAGAAATCCTGGCTTGAAAGCTCCCTCCCTACTGGCTAGCTTTCATAGTGCTGCAAGATACATGCTAACAGAGGATAAAAGTAATCATCAGTCTCATCCAGCTAGGAATCCTGTGAGGTACAAACTTTTGTCTGGTCCACTGGTAGAGTAGTGGCACAAATGTCATGGCAGTACCCACCCACTTTCTGACTGGTTTTAAGGCCTGGTGTACAGCACAGAGCCATACATGGTACTTCTAATGGATCTAAGAACTTTGGGTTAGATATATCACTGGCTCCAAGAGAGAACCCTCTGCTGTCATTCTACTAAAGGTGCATAGCACTGAAATGACCCCTAACAATTTATTGTTACAGGCATACATCAGTGCATCTCTGTGCTCTCATTAAAGAAACTTCTTCATGCAGTAGATGACAATTAACATAGAGACTCAGAAATGGTCAGGTTTGGGGAATAAGAGATTATAGGGTGTCCTGTCATAAGACATCTATATAACAAAGTTCTCAAGACTTGGGGTCTTCTTGGAAAATGAAGTAGCAGAAAGATGGTAAGAGGCAGAGGTGGCAGGTGACATTGAGTGTAGCTCACGGAAGGCTGGGCTGGGTCCGAGGAAGGATAAGTGTGCTGCTCACCCATTCCCCAGCCTCCCAGGATCCCCGAGACAATCAGACGCAGCAGGGAGTCTAGTCAAGCAGGAATTCCTTTATTGTCCCACACCAAGCATCTTTTAAAGTAAAGAACGCTCAGAGCAGGAAAACAGCCAGCCAATGGCTTTAAAGGTCAGCCTGTCACACGCCTAGGCACTTATGCTTTACCTAGTGAACATGAGCTGTTTATGCAGTGACCTTATCTGGTTCCATCTAGGCAACCAATCATCGTTTTTGGTAAAAAGCTCAGGGCTCACCCATCTGACTTCCCCTCAGCACCATCTTTGACTGGCTCATGTGTCCTACAATCAAGGAAACAGTGTCTTCCATATAAGGCAGTTGCAAAGATGAACTCACAAGATTTGCCATGCTCAAGCCAGACCAAATCCCAGTGCAGAATGGGGGATTGGGCATGAAGTCCTCTCCCTAGATGAGGAGCTATGGGTTTTTGCAGAGGGGGAGAGTCACTTTCCTCAAAAGGTATGACCCATAGTAGTAGAGCAACCACACCCCAGGGCAAACCCTACACTCAAGAGTATTTGAGCAATACAAATTCAACTCAGTGCATCTTACGAGAGAGCGAATAAGAAGTTTGGTAGATAGGGAGGTGGGTGGATCTGTGGGAAGCTGGAGGAGGAAGGGTAAACATGGTCAAAATACAGTGTATGAAACTCTCAAAAGATTAGTAAAAATGTTATTTTCAAAGTATGTAAGTGCAATCCTACTGAAAATACTTCAGCTTTTTGACGCATATTGGAAATTTGATTCTATAATTCACATGGAAATAACCAAAGAAAACTTCATATGGCTGGGGAGGCCACTAAGAGAGAGGGCACTTGACTAGTATGCATGAGGCCCTGGGTTTGATCCTTAGTCCCCTAAAAAAAGAAAAGACACCCTAACATACTTGAGTCATATTACAGAGGCAGGGCGATTCAAATACTGCAGTAATGTGTCACAACTCACAAGACAGGATATGATGGAGAGCATAGACTTGGGCTTGGGGTGCTATCAGAGGATGGTATCTGAAGGGCAGCCTCAGGAGGCCTGGGGGAAGGAGTTCAGAGACAAAAGACAAATTCCAGATGAAAGCTGTTAGGGAAGGGAAAGAAGCAGGCACTGGGAGGAAATACGGAAAGAGGACAGCTTATGGGAAGGGTCAGCTGAACCAGAGAAAGAGCGTGTCATTTCTGAGTCCTCCCTGGAGAATTTAGGAGACAGGGACAGAGGCGTGGTAGCTGGTACAGAAAGATGTGGGCAAGTTGGCGTGCCTGACCCGGCACAAGGTAGTGTTCTGCTCTTCATCCTGCGAACATTTCCCTTGTATACTGGCACTGTCTGCATTTTAGACTAGACAGCTAAAACACAGAGCCTACAGAAGCAGGAGGAGCAAACAGAAAAGCCAGAACCAAAGAGGCTGAGTTGTGTTTACCCTAGAGAAGAGAAAACTGAGGACTACCTCCACTACCTTCAGGTTGAGGCACGGACAAAGGCAGGCTCTGAAATGATAGAGGAAAACTGGAAGCGGAAACCACCCCGCACCATCCGATGCTTGCCAGCATTATAGCATGTCAGCACGCGGTCCTGCCAGCTAGCTCTCGGGGAGGTAACTGGAAATGGTTTAGTGAGCAGGACGGAATTGAAAAAGCCGAGTCCTGAAGATCCGAGGTTTTATCCAGCTCCGATTGTCCCCGCACTTAAAGTTCACTTTATTCTCTGAGACCAAACAGAGGACCTAGATCTAAGGGAGTCCTTAGTCCCAGCTCAAACTAGGCAAAGGTCCCAGGGACCAAACGGGTGGAGGGAGATTGTGGGAGGAGATAAAGTAGAAACAGGTGATGCAGTTAGAGAGGTAAAGGAAGCTGAAAGCAAAATCAAGTCTGGGTGCTTGTCCCAGCGGTCAAACCCAGAGCGACCATCTCTGTTTCCGCGTCTGTAGGGGAGCCAAACCGGAAGACTGGGACTTGGTGGGAACCAAGGAGGCGGCTCTGAGCTTTGGCTGTGGTGAGGCATGGGCCTGGGCTCTCTTCCATCCATCTGGCTAGCTGGGTCAGGCCTGGGTGGGCTGAAGGGGGGGACCCAGCCTGGAGAGGTTTACACAAAGCCTGAACTGGGAGTTAGGAAAACGAGTTGTTCTGTGGATCAAAACCTGGGGTTTATGGAGAAAAAGAAAAAGGAGTCGGAGGCTGACTCCAGGAACTCCAGCTATAAAACTGAAGCATCTGTGGACTAGAGTTAATTTGGCAATTTCAGGAGGTGGGGGTGGGGGAGTGTTGCTGGAATCCTCAGGAGACACCCCAATGCAAGATTCCTGGGAATACAAAGGACATAGTTGCTATCCAGGGAACAGTGTTTTCTGCTTGGTTCATGCATTTCAGACTTCATGCTCGCACCCCGACGGCCGCGGGAAAAATCCCAGAATATTCTCATCGAACACAACGGCTCTGGTCTTGGAAACTGGTTGGTTTCAGCCCCGTCGTGGAGGTGGTGTTGGTACTCTGAGATCAGTTTTGTGCTCTCTGGCAAAGGAGAAACTCGGGCACCCTCCATTTCCCTTTGTTTCTTAATGTTTACAAATATTGGGGGGTGGGGGAGACTAGCTCAGTGGTAGAGCATTTGTCTGTCCTGAACAAATCCTTGAGTTCAATCTTCACATTGAAAGAAAAGTGCTTAATAGATACGTAACATTTGCCATGTTCAGGGGTAGAGCACGATGGCCCTAGAAAAGAATACACTGTGCAATTGTCAAGCCACAGCAATCAGTCAGCAGCTCCATTGCCTCAGACATCTGCCATTCTTTGTGCTGGGGACATTCAGACTCTCCTAGCTGTTTTAGAGTGCACTGACCTTATTTTTATCATTCACAGATATGAAAAACCTCCTTCAGGGAAAAGGCTTTACATCTAGAAGGAGAAAGACCCAGGTATGTGGTGTGGTGTGGTGTGTGCATGTGTGTCCCCCCACTCCCTCGGGTGATATTAGGTGTCTTGTTGGTGCATACCTGACCACAGCTTGCCTGGAACAAACAGGGTCTTGCAGCCTGTGGTCTAATAACAGGATTTTGTGACCTCTTTGCTTTCAAGTTCCTTAGATTTGCAGGCAGGGATCCCTGGAATGTAAGGGTATGTAAATATGTTGAGCCGTTCCGCAGAAAAGTTAGCAGCAGGCCCATGCCAGGGCCTCAGGTGCACTGGGTCACCGTGGATGGCGATCAGACGCCGAGCCCTTGCCAGTGACACACAATCCCACGGGCTTGTCTACAGCCAGACAATCAACCACTGTCCCCACCAGGTGGGCCGCTCAGCTGCCTGCCTCGAACGATGCCACTCAGGCAGCAATTTCACAGCCTTCCTCAGCGTCGTGGCTGCTTGGCATCCACTAGGGAAGGTGGCCTGGACCTCCAAAGATGCCCTTGTGTGACTGGCCCGCTGGCCAGGGCTCCTTTCAACAGACATCAGAGGCAGCTAGGTTAGATCCCACTGCCCTTAATCACAGGCACAAGCTGAACAATCTCAAATTCCTCTAATGCACCTCCCTGGGTTTGGTTTTGTGTAAATAGGTTGCAGCAATTCCTAGGATGCCCAAATGAGGCTGAGTAAACAATGGCATGGACTTGACAAAAAGCACGATGAAAACAAAATAAAGAAAAGAGAGGAACCCTGGTCTTTGACGTCTATGCCAGGATGTGGCAAAGGAGGAACACCGAGTGTGTGGATTGGAAGACTCTTTGACAAAGCACCGCTGGGTGAGTGTGGTGAGCTGCCTCACTGTCGTTGGCCCTGGGGACAGCCAGGGGCCATTCTGCCTAAGGTTAGTGCAGTAGATCACAAAGATTTTGGTGGGCCAAGATGTTCTCAGAGTCTTCCTTGGGTCTGGACACAGACCACAGGAGTGAGGGGCGGAACGTCGGGATGCAATTTTGGCTATTGGGCAGAGCAGTCCTTTGCAGCTGTGACCCCGCTGGAGCTACAGATATAGGTAGGGATGTCCCGCTGAGTACACATGCCCTGCTGGAGTGTGTCCTCTTTTTCAAAGCCCACCGTCACCCTCAGCAAGCGTGGAAGCCAGATAGCGCTGATCTCTCAAGGCCCTGACTGTTCTTTCCTACCTTTTTCTACCATGCAAAAGATCTATTGATTTCATTATTAGGCTGTTGCCATCCTTAGATCTCATTAAGCCATTTGGGGCCATTCCTCCCCAGCTAACCCAGCTATCCCTGAAAGCAAGCACTTAAAAGTCTGAATTGTCACCTTCCTTGGGCTAATTATATGTGACCAAGGATTTGTGAGCTGGTGGCTTCCTGTGGTCCTAAATGATGAAGCCTAGGGACATGTGTGTCCATTCCAGTCATCAATGGCCGAAGGCACTCAGAGATCACTAGTAGCCTGTGGGTTGGAGAAGGCTGTGTCCACCACATTGGGGGATTATTAAGAACATCCGTTTAGGATTCAGCTGTTCAGAAGGTGTGGAGTGCTTTATGAATGGAGACGTTTGTGTTTATTTATAGAGATGGTAAACCAACCTAGAAAGTCTAGTCTTCCCATCCTTGGGCTCTGAATGAACCTGGGATAGCAGGCTGGGAGACATTATTTCCTGTCAATTACCAGGAATGCTACAAATAAACACACAGGGACCTGTTAACCCGCACCTATGAGCGGGTAAACCTATGTGAGTTTATCCTTCCCTTAGGCAAGTATCAAATGTTCACTTCACAGTTCCTAGGAGACCTGATAAACAGCCACTGGGGAGTTTTCTTCCCTTTAATTGGAGTGGTTCTTTAAACAGATGTCCAATGTGTGGGGATGACAGCTTCTGGGGTTGAAAAAAAAACAGTCCAGAAAGCTCAGTACCCCAGAGCAAGAGAGTAACACTCCAGGGCCCCCCATTAGTATTCAAACCTGCTGGCCAAGGTGTTGCCATTCCTAAGTACCAGAGCCTCTGGTGTCATGGGAAGAAAAGTCAGATGCAACGTGTGTGCCTCAGAAGCCAGATTCCATCAAGGCCTAAGGAAGTTCTTGTCCTTGTCCAATTTCCCAGAGCCTGGCACAAAAGCAAAAATCTCTCCCACCCATCCCTGGGTGCCCAACATGTACCACTTCCTCACACTGGAGGATTCTGGGAAATGCATGTCGGCTGTGCTTCTCAAATGACCTTCACCAAGACCACAGGTAAAAGCCGAGCTTTCACAGCTGATGTGAAACGTGAGGGTGTTTCACATTCTTCTCATGGGAATCGGATTTTCTAGGGGCAGACAGGCATGAGGCATCCCAAGGAGCAGCTAAGTAGGGATGGATTTTCACTGTGGCTTTGGGGCCTGGTAGGGAAAAACCTACCCTTGAATTTTAGGAATTGAATCAACCAAAATGAGGACCTTTTCACAACAAGGGAGATATTTAGAAAAGGAGAAGAAAAACATTTAATCAAAATTCAGTTCCAACAGCCTATAATGTAATTTGATTTCTAGAGGTACCTTTAAAAAAAAAGTGAAGAAACGAGAGTATACATTAAAAATAAACTTTTTCCTTTTGATGCATTCTTTTTAGTTGAATGTGATTTTATTCTATACGTAAATTACTTTTAAAAGTCTAAAAGAATTATAGGTTTAAAGACAACATAATAATCTTAAATGTATATTTTCTTAACAACAGGGCTACAAAACAAGTTAAGCAAAACCAGATAGACTGGAAAAGATAAACAGATCCACAGTTGCAGTTGTAGACTTTGCTAGTTTTTTCTGGGTAATAGTAAACAGACAGCAAACCATCAAGTATAGGAAGGACTTGAGGACGCCATCAGCCAGCCTGCCCTCACTGACACTGAGAGCCTCTCCCCACAAGACCAGATGCTCAGTCTCTTTTGGTGAACAAGACATGTCCAAGAGAACACTCACAAAGTCATGCCACACACCAAAAAGATGTCTGAGCTTCATTAAATTCAAAAGAATCTAAATACCAGAATATCTGAAAATAAATCAGTCATCAAATATGTAATCAATAATTTATGGTCCCAAAGGAAGTCTCTGGTGAAAACTATAAAATATTTTGAAGTGAATAAAAATAAAAATATATTGAATATAGGGCAAATTCTGTTTTTAGGACATTTAATGTGTTAACTCCTTAGAACACGAAATGTTTCAGGTTTGTAATGTAACCCCTTCCACAAAAAACCAAGGGGGTGGGGAGGAGCAAAGTCATCCCAAAATTAGGACAAAAAAAAAATGAAACAGGAATCAATGACCAAATGCGATTTGTCAAGAAAAATCAACAAAAGGGATAAACTGTACCAAGCCAAAAGAGGGTAGAAAGGAGAAAGAAAAAATTTACTCTCAGGAAGGGAAAGAGTTGTTTTTAAAGATATCATAAGGAATACTACAAACAGCTCAGAGCATGCAAATTCAACAATCAAAATGAAATGAGCCAATTCCTTAAAAGCTACAGACTCCTAAAACTAAGCCAAGAAGAAATCAATTATATAGATGTCATATATATAATATATATTAATATATATGCCATATATGCCATATATATATATTTAAAGACTAAATTTGTGACCTGAAACAAAACTCTCTGAAGGGCAAACCCTAGATTTCACTGCTGAATTTGACTAAATAGTGAAAGGAAAATCACAGTAATTCTTCACAAGTTTCCAGAAAAATAGTAAAGGGAAGTTTACCTCTCAACTCATGTAAGAAGGCTGATAGTACTAAAAGCCAACTAAGAAAGATAGAAGTAAAGAAAACTATGGGCCAATATCCCCAATAATATAGACCCTAGCATCCTCAATAAGAAATAAATAGCAAGTCAAGTATACCAATATTCAAAGAGACTCTCCACGTCTTTCACACCCTTGACAGTGGCAGTCATCATTGTAATCCCTCCAGGAAAACAAGCTTGGTCTTTTGCTTCCTATTTGTCTTCAGAGAGAGAGAGTTCTAATTTCCATTTGACATTTACCACCATACTACTCCTTACTCATAGTCGGAAATCAACGTAGAGGTTTGTCCCTCATTCAGTGTGTCTCCCCCTGGGATGCATTTGCAAACTGGGGAAATAACCACAGGATAAGTTAAGGATTGGGTCTATTATGCAACTGAATTGAGCTTAACCTCCACTGACCACCTGATATTTATTACCTCCTACTGAGGCAGGCAAGCATAGGGAATAATTTCCCAAATTCTATTAATGCATATGGCAGACCAGTTCCTTTACCTGAACAATGCTCCTCTCCAAACAGTGGCACCTAATAACCTTGGAGCCCCCCCACACACACACACTCACACACACATCAGACTATAGGTACACTCCTGTCTGAATAATGGAATAGGCTTCTCTTCTAATGACCATCAAACTTGGACAGTTTCTATTCAAGTGTTATTTCCAGTACATACTGGTCCAAGGATGGGAGGACCCATCAAGCCTGAACTGATTTTGGGTGCTTTGCACTAAAGCAAAACTGTGTCCTCAAGGGAACTGTTAGGGAGTATCCTATGCAAATTGGGTGTGCATGTGGTTACCATGTTTGTCTTGCCTTTGGTGCCTGAGATCCCTTGGCATCTGCTACTCAGGGATCTGAATACTCCCTTTGCATTTAGCTACTCCAATTCAAAGGACTGCAGGCTTGGTTCTAAGGTCAAGCACACAGAGAAAAAAACAATATCAGAACACTTCAAGGGTGCTAGTGTTCCCTTATAAATATACTCCACATAGTCATGGTAAAAAGCCGGTGTTGTGGTGCATGCCTTTAATCCCAGCACTCAGGAGGCAGAGGAAGGCGGATCTACAGAGTTAGTTCCAGGACAGCCTCCAAAACAATACAGAGAAAACCTGTCTCTAAAAAACCAAAAAAAAATGTCTTCAGGTATTAGATGACAAGTTCCTTCTAACATAGTTAACTCTCCACCCTCCTCTGTAGTACAGAAAGACAGACTGGCAATTCTGGCTCAGTCAATATAGGCCACATTTTGGTTTCCATTTCAATCCAACAACTTGACTATGTTGGAGTCCTTTCAACCCCACTGAGCTGAAATATCTATGGTGGGAACCATTGGTAGTTCTCTTAGAGTACGGTTGTTGCAGAATATTTGTTTATACTGTGAAGATATGTCTTTGCCAAGGCACCTTCCAACTGATTTAATAAAGAGCTGAATGGTCAATAGCTAGGTAGGAATAAGTTAGGTGGGACTCCTGGGGAGAGAAAAACTCAGGAGGGGGAAAGGCAGGGTTCCAGCAGACACCGAGAAAGCAGGATGGACAGTATGAAGATGAGGTGACAAGACTCATGGGAGAATGTGCATTAAAAATTCTGAGTTAGTTATAAGAACTAGTTAGGGATAAGCCTAAGCTAAAGTCAAGCTTTCATGATTAATAGTGAGCCTCTGTGTCATTATTTGCAAGCTGGCACTCCTGATGAGAAAGTACTACTACATGTGGCTCACTCCTCTGATCATACATTTCCCCCTCTTCTTTGGGGGTCCATTGGGACCTCTTCTTATAGCTTTAGAGACAGGAGGGCAGTAGATTCTGAGTAGAGTAACGATTGTCTCAGAGACAATTTCTTCCTGTTCCTCTTCCTTCTCTTGAACCCCATAAAAGAAAGCACCAAACAATGATCGAGATCCTTGAGTACCCTCACTCAGGGTGTCCTTAACCCCAGCCTGGGAAAAAGAGACTCTGCACTGGATGTGAACGGCTGTTCCGACTCACAGAGAGTTTCATCAGCATTTAAGGCTTGCTTCATCAGGATCTTCTCAGACATTTCATCTTAA